AAGCCCCTTTCCTGAGAAAACTGTTATTATGAACACTGTGGCCTCCGGGACCTGAAGAGTGTAGAGCCATCTGTCTCTGGGCTACGTGACCCTAGTTGGCTCTACTTCTGTCCTTGTCTGTTCTGTGTAATAGTTCTGCATCTGCTGTCAGACTATCTGCTATACCTCGCACCCTCCCTTCTAATCCTTCATGTCCTGGGAAAAGAGCTAATCAAATTTGTTAGAACCCCCACAAAAACTGGAATAAAAGGGAAAACAGAAAGATTCTAAATAGATGAATTTTTTAAACATTTTTTCTCCCACCATCATCTGGTTTTTCCATGGTGTTTTGGGCAGCTGGGATCTAGGTAAGCAACGTGTTTCCATGGTTAGCGATCCAGCGCACAGCAGAAAGTTATACTGGAAAGAAAACTACCCTGACTACACTGGCTTCGGTACCAACTAGCAGGGTTCATTCATTTGTTCATTCAACAAACACACAATGAACATCTAATAGGTACCAGGCACTATCTGAGCAGCGGAGGGCATAGTGGTGAACAGATTCTTGTAGGGGAGACAGAAAATAAAGACACAGACAAGCAAGACAGAGCCGAGAGTGTGAAGAGCTCTGAACACAGCAAATCAGGTGAAGGAGGAAGGAGTGACCTGGGAGGTGGCACTTCATGTGAGAAAGTTGGGAAGTGCTCTCCGGGAAGGCAGTATTTGGCTGTATTGTCAGAGATGGGGGATGGGGGCATTCTAGGCAGAGGGAGCATCACATGTGAGGTCCCTAAGTCAGGAATGGGGTTGATGTGTTCACTGAACAGAAACGCTGGGCAGCTGGAGCGGAGGGAGCACAGTATCGGGGAGACTGACAGCAGGTGCAGGTGGAGAAGCAGGCGGGGTGGGGTGGGGGGGCGTGTGGATCTAGCAGGGCCAAGGAAACCCACCCACTAGGGTGTGACATGACTTGATACTTTCTGAGAAGGGGCTGGTAGGTCTGCTGGATTAGATGCAAGAAGGATGAAGGAGGGGGTGGGGAGGCAAGGGACATAGAGGTATTCATGCTGGTTTCTAGGTGTGGGACCAAGCAGCAGGGCTTGGCTGCTTGTGCTGTCTGCTGAGAAGGGGAAGGTTGGGAGAAGGGCAGTTTTCAAAAGATCCCCAGTACTAGAGATACTAAGTATAAAGTTGTTGCTTGAGGGGAGAGGTCAGGGCTGGAAATGTTATGTAAACCTTGGTATCAGATGACAGGACCTAGGAAGTGACTGCACATAGGTAAAGGCTAAACCCGAGGTAGGAGGTTAGGGAGAAGGTACTGGAGCGGTGACAGAGATAAAAACAAACCCTAAGAACAGTATGCTCCCAGGGAGCATTCCGTGTGCAGAAGACTGCTTAGGAGAGAGATAAGATGAGGCAGAGAGTTTGGCCCCTGGATTAAACAAGATGAAAGTCACTAGCATCCTGACAAGAGAAGTTTGTGTCCACGGGAGTGCGGACAATTAATTTCCGTGGGGCTGTTTCCTCTGTGAAATGTGGGTAACAGAATACATATTTGAGGTCCTGTCTACTACCCCGTTGTTATATGACTTTTAAGCTAGAATTTTTTTAAACCTTCATAAAATGGTTAGAGATAAGAAAAATGATAGAAAAAAAAAACATGCTTTTAAGGAATTTATTTGTCAAAAAGTTGCGTGGTCATTAATACTCTTCTACATAAAAACACGTAAGGTTATTTATGCAAATTTTTAAATAAGCCAAGGAAACTTTAAAATAGAACACTAAGTGGCTGGAATTCTTAGTGGATCCAAATTATATAAGCTGTACCATCAACGCAGTACCAAGAGACCTCCAGCTCATTGTCCTGCAAAGACATTTCAACATTATTTCTAGACACAAGGCAGTGGTCACCTGTCTGGCCATCTGAGTTCTTAGTCACACTTTGCTCTTTCGCCCACTGTCCTGAATTTTAACACAAGGTTACAAAGTCTTGAAAAACAACCCCAATCCTTGTTTGTCCAAGGGGACCGTACCCTATGTATTTCCCTATTGGTGACTGACCGCTCTGTTGAAGTAAGAGAGCTAGAGACTGGCACACTATTTTTGAACTTTTTTGGTGGTTGAGATAACCTGGCACCACTGTGGAGACTGGCTCAGGGGTGATCTCAAGGGAGGGCTGCCCTCAGGGGACCCGGATGTTCTTGTCCTTGCTGCCCTAATGCCACCCAGTGAGCAGCCCTAACTCACGTCTGTATAACCTCGCCTCAAGAACTCCAGGCAATTTACCAACAGCCTTTCACCAGATTCACGGGGAGACACATGATTTCCCTCCTCTAGCTGAAAAATGGAAACCCTGAAATAAGGAGAGAGGGAGTAATTCAAGGAGATAGCTAAGTTAAATGAGAGCAGGAAATGGTATCCAGGACTCCTGGCTCTAGGTTTTCTTCCTTCCTTCCATGACATTGACTATCAAATGGGAACAAAACCAGGGCTTACAAATACAGGCGGAAATACTTCACAAAAGAAGCATGAAGCGAGAGGCAAGGTAAGCAATATTTTTCAGGATCCCAATCCACCCTAAGTCAGCTGTCCTCAAATGTTGCTATATATCACTCACGTGGGGACTTCTTAAAGCCATAGATCCCAGGGTTCACCTGAGCCTCACTGCCCTGTGGTTCCTGGGGCAGAGGGTGGGGAGGTTGGGAGGTGGAGGGTAGGGGCAGGGTGGAGGGGTGGCTCCTTGAGTGATTCCCGTGCACACTTAAGCTTCAGTACCACTGTACTAAGCAGTTCTCATAGATATCTTGGATTCAGTCTTCTGTGGCTATGTGTTGGGGGGTGAGGTGAGGGCAAGGGAGGGATTTAGGTCCCAAGGTCAGGCGAAAATAAATTACCCCTGGTAAATCCTCTTAAAACACTCATAAGATACAGCACCAATGTTTTCACGGGGAAAGAAAACACTGTAGTGTAGCATGTAAGTATAATGCTTACAGTAAGACTCATGAGGAACGCCAATGCAAACTGTCCCTATACTGTTTTAGCTTACAAGAGAAAAGTGTGCCTATAGGTCCAAATTAAATGCTCCATTATATAACTCACTAGCACAAGAACACCATGAAATACATATTATTATGTCCGTTCTACAGATGAAGAAGTGGGGGGCGGGGTCAGTCACTTTAAGAGACTTGCCCAAAAGGATGGGTATGTCAGTATTGGAACCAGAATTCGGACTTCGCTCTATTTGCTCCTGAAACTTGTGATCTTTTCATTAAGCTTTTTGAGATAACTGTAGATTCACATGTTTTGAGAATGCAGTCTTTTCATTTTGATCACACTGCCACAGGCCAGCTCATTTTTAGGCATTCCCCTGAAGGGTAAAATTCAGAAATGCTCCAGAAGGTCTCGGGCCACTGCTATTTTAAACATCTAGTTTAAAAGACAGTGTGCTATCAACTGGGTAGGATTTAAAAAAATTAGATTAGAGGCATACCCTATCAAAAGAGTTGGGGACCAAAAATGGCTAATGACGCTGTATGCAGTGATAAGGAGGTAGTGTGCTAGGAGTAACATGCAAATCGAACCATTATTGTAGGTTAGTATCTTTTCACAGTGTCTCTCAGAAGGAACACACTTGTCAGAATACAGGACAAAGGCCTTGGGCCTCACCTGGACCTCTGCAGTGCTGTAGACCTGCAGGTGAGAGAGGGACACAGGTGCCTACTGACAAGAGTTACCCCATCGGTGGTCTGTCCTTGCGACAGGTGAGGCACTACTAGGAGGCCCATGCTGTGCTATGCTCTTTGTACACATTATCTCATTTAATCCCTACAATCCCACCTAGGAGGTATTGCGAGACACAACGGGAAACTGAGTCTTATTTGTTGCTCTGCTGGAAGTCGCTGGTAATTCTCTGTACCAGGACAGACTTATGCACTGCTCTAGGCATCTTACATACATCACCTCTAATCCTCATAAGGACCCCGTGAAATAGGTGCCATAATCACGCCATTTTACACACGTGAAAGCACGAACTAGTGAAGTAACTCCCTCAACTCAAGTGGAGAGTTAGTGGTGAGCCCAGGAAGCGAAGTCAGGAGAGGCTCTGGTCTCAAGTATTAGTCTGCATCACAACCACCTGGAGCGCAAGAAGATAGAGACACGCTGGGCCCTGCCCCGTTTCTGATTCCGGGCCGGCACCTGTGAATTTTCATCTCTGCAAGTTCACAGGTGAGGTCCACGGCTACTAGTCTGGGAAGCACGCTCTGAGAACCTCTGCCCTAGAGCTAGCTGTCTTGATCACTGTGCAACAGATCCTACTGGCTTCCAACGAACATGTGCTTTTAGCATTTGCAAAAATTATTTAAAATAATTCCCAGAATCTCCGCCTTTGGAGATTTTACCATAGTTTTGAGCTTTGAGGACCACAATGTGTGGTTAAGCAGAGCGTTCAGCCGGGGAGCGTCTTCTATGCTTGTGTCCTTCTCAACGGAATCCGAAGGCAGGGGCTCCGGCCACGTGCGCCGAAACACAGCGGCCCGGGGTTCTGGGAACCCGGCCTCGTCGCGGCGCAAGGACTACAAGATGACCTGACCACTGGGGCAGCCCCACCTTCAAATGGCCCAGCACCCGCTGTGGCCTCCGGCTCCTCTAGGTCTATTTACACTCCCCCCGCCCCCGCCCCGGTCCACTGCAGAGCAAGCCCTCTCACACCTCACGTCTGCGATCAGCAGCAGAACCAAATTCAGCAAAGTTCTCAAGGGCAAGGGGACTGGCGGCGAAGAGAGAAAGGTCTTGGCAACAAGGGGAGGCGGCGGGAGATGCGCCCACCCGAGTCTCCGCGGCCCCCGGCAAGCGCCCCGCCCGGTGGGGTAGGGTAGAATCAGGCTGGGCGGGGGGCGCCGGCGGGGTGGGCGTGGCGTGGCGGGGGGGGGGCGCCTCAGGGCACCGGCAGCGGCCGCAGCCATCTTGAGCGCCGGGAGCACCTCGCAGGTCCGGCGGGCGGGGCGCTCAGGGGCGCGGCCCCGGGACCCCGCCCCGCGGAGGACTCTCGGGAGCGCGGGCGGCTGGCGCACTGCACCGACTCACCGACAGCCGGGAGCGCAGCGGTCTTTTGCAGGCGCCGCGGGTGAGCCGGGCGCGCGGCCGGGGTCGGGGGGCAGAAGGCCCGGGCCTAGGGGCTCGCGTCCCGAGGCGGGGGCGGGGGCGGGGGGACGGGACAGCGGCCGGGATTCGACTACAGGTGTGGCGGAGCTGGCCCGGCGGCCGGGGTGGGGGGATCTGCGCGTGAGCCCGGAGCCCGTGGTCCCCGGGAAAAGCCGGGCTTGCCCCGCTGTCGCCAGATTCGGGGTCCCCGTCTGGCCCTTGGCGCTTGGTTCTCTCTTTTCGGCCCCAACAAGCGGCAGGTGAAGCTGAACCTACCGGTGTGGCCGCCCCTGCTGCTCCACACCTTCCTCTTTCGACTCTGTCCCCTGGGGTGTCCCTCCCGAAGTGCTTGCGGAGCTCGACCCCGTGGGCGCGCGTGCAGCCCGCGCCCCTCCCGCCTCGCTCGGCCCTCTGGCCCCTCCGGCCCGTCCAGGGTGGGGACCATTTTTTTTTTTTTTTTAAGTTTCTCAAAGGCTTGACGGTTGCGGTTTCAGCCCTGGGGCAAACGGTTGCTTCACAAAGTGAAACTTGGTGTTTGCTGTGCTCCCGGCTGGCTTCCTGGAAGTCCGAGGAGTACCTCCGCGTGCCGTCCCGCCCGCTTCCGCGTCGCCCCCCTCCCCGCCGCCCACGGCTCCCGCGCGGGACCCCTCCCCCGCGAGGCCCCGCCTCCCCGCCTCCCGGCCCTGCCCCCTCCCTTGCGCGGCCCCGCCTCCTCCCTCACGGGGCCCCGCCCCTGCTCGCGGGGCCCGCCCGGCCCGCGGTAATTGTAGGTTGGGCGGTGACTCAACGCCGGCGCCCGCCCGGCCGGTTCTTAAGCAGCGGCGCGCGGGGCGGGCGCCGAGTGTCGGGCGCGGCGACGGCGGGAGACGGCGGGAGGCGGCGGGCAGTTGTGCGCGCTGAAAGGCTTTCCTCTGCTTCCAGGTCCGGAGAGCGGTCTCAGCTGCTGCGGCAGACTCGTGTTTCCAGGGGACTGAGGAAAACCCGTCAGGAACCGAAGATGCCGAAACCAGTAAGTGGGCGGTGTCGGGGCCGATGGGATGCTCCGGGCGCTCCTTTCCCGCCGCGGCACCTGGGCGGCGCGTGGGGCGCTTCTGAGGGGAACCGGGTTCTTTTGTCGACGGCGGGAGGGTCGGAGGGAGGGAAGCGGCCCCGCCCTGGGTCAGGGGTTGGTCCTTCTGTGGAACTCGAGAAGGAGACCACGGCGGCGCTGCTTTTCGCTCTCCGGTCTTCCTGTGTGTGGGCGCCCCCGCCCCGCCCAGCCCCAGTCGTTTCTGGTCTTTTGTAAAAGAAAGTCCCGTCTGCTTGAAAAGTGTCTTCTAACGCAACTTGGAAGTTTCTTAATAACAAAAGTTGTCTAAATGCCCGGAGAGTCAGGTGGCTCCCGACGACGCCGGTCAGCTCCGAGTCCTTTCACAGCTCGGAACCAAACGCGCCCCAGATCTTCCTCGGGTGCTTTATAGGGCCTGCAGCCTAGGAGGCTCGGTCTTGCCGGCGGGTCGCTTCTCTCCAGCCCGTCTCACCCCGGGCCTGGGAGGCCGCGCGCTGTTAACCGGGAATTTGCTGGCGGCAGCAGGATTCCGATCTCTGAAAGAGGTTGGGTCGTGGACCTGAATTGCAGATGAAGGCAGGCGGCCCTGCTCCCGGGTCGTGCGCTACAAGGCCCGCACCTCTCTCCCCTGCATCTGCTTCTGTTGCTCTCGGGGTTCGATTGCAGGCCAGGCCTGGGGGGATACACTTTCATTTAAGTGGTGGGAGCGAGGCGGGTTCTTTGTGACCAGTATTTCTTGGAAGGTTGTGCGTATTCACCTGCTTTGACGCAGGTGAGCTGTGACTAGATGGGGAGGGGATTTCGCATTTTTTAATTGTTCTGAATCAGGAGGGAGAAAATACCTGGATTCAGTAAAAATTGCAATAAAAGACATATACGGAATTCCCGTTTTTCAAGCAAGTCGGTTCTGTAGTCAGTGCGTTTGTTCCCAGTAAATTGTAGATTCTCTAAAAGGAGTTCTTGATTAATCAAGCCTTTACTGTTCGGTTAAATGCATTTCCGTGTTCATACGCTGTCAGATTCGGAAGCCAATAGAGTTTTTGCCTAAATTACATAATTAAGATGATTCACTCATGATGCAGAACATTTTTTTCCTACACAAAATTCTTCTTTTTTCAAACTTGTACAAGGCACCCGGGCTTTATGATGCCTGTGTTGTAAAACTGGTGTAAATGCAGCCACTCAGGACACGGTCCCATGCAGCCCTTTGCAGAATGGCAGCGAAGACATTACTGTAGGTCTGGTTTTCTTTATTTCACTAAAAGAAAAGCAGAGTTCAGCTTTTAAGATACCACCTTGAGAAAAAAGGCAGTAAACCAGTTTCCTGCCACTGTTTTTCTTTTTCATTTTTCAAAACGAACTGTTATTTTTATTGTAGTAAAATGTACATAATACACAGTTTACTATCTTAACCGTTTTTAAGTGTACTGTTCAGTGGCATTAAGTACGTTGACCACCACCACCCCGCTCTACAACTGTTTGATCTTTTGAAACTGAAACTTTCTACTCATTAAACACTAACTCACCAGTCCCTGGCACCCACCCTTAGACTTCCTGTCTCTCTGATTTTGACTACTCGAGGTCCTTCATGTAAGTGGAATCAAACAATATGTGTCCTTTTTGAGACTGGCTTATTTCACTTGGTATAATGTCCTCAAGGTTCATCTGTGTTGTAGGATGTGTTAGAATTTCCTCCTTTTTAGGGCTCTGTTTATTTCTTATGGCAGGTATATGTATATTTTAATTGTATGTATGAAGATAGATATATTTGAATAGTTGGGGTTTTAGGCTTCTACCTGATCCCTTGAGTTCGGCAGGCAAAGTATTTTTGATTGATACCTACTGAATCAGAGGACAACTTCCTTTATAAAACAGCGTGAATGAAAAAATATTCGCTGCTTTTTCTCTTAATACTGCTTCTCAAATCACCACTTGTTAGATTGAATATTCATTCACTCAGTAAGCATCTGTCCTGCAAGCTGCATTGCAGGGCATGGTCCAGTGAGACCACGCTTGTTTGGGGGGGGGGGGGGGGGGTTAGGGTCTGGAACCTGAGCCGGGACACATGCGAATGCTGAAATAGTAGCTGGGAGACTCTGAGTGCCACCAAAGAGGGAGAGAAGCTTAGGTCAAGTGCAACACAATTGGGAAGAAAACCATCTGATGGGGAAATGGGTGAACATTATTGAGAAGTTAGCCTTCAGCTGAGTCTTGCTGGAGGGCTTTGGTTAGGATTTGATTAGCTTGGGCGCTCCAAGGAAGGTACTATTGTCTGGTTTTACTTTTCCCACAACTGCTTTGGGGCTCTACTCAAGTGTGGCTTGTAGACTTCCACGGAGGATGGTTTGAGGTCCAGAAGATGCCACACCCTCTGCTCTGCTAATTCTTTGGCCTTGTGAGTCCTCATCTGGGGGAGAGCCGTGGGGTTTTGTGCAGGGAGCTGGCTCAGGAAGCAGCCCTGTGCCTGTGGTTCAGCCAGGGGTAACCTCCTCTCTTGTGTTCCCCCTTCCTCCTCCCTTCTTAACCACCACACTTGCTTTCTTCATCGTGATAGGAAGGAGGCATGGGGCGGTAGAAAGGAAAACCGCAGCAGTCAGGCTTAGGAATGATGCAAGGCCAAGCTCTCTTAAATCTTTTCTGAGCTTAGTGCTGAACTGCCTTAAGCGGCACTGACAGATGCCATAGCTGTTCATTTCTAAAGTTTTGATACGGAAGTTGTTAATATAAAAGCAGATTTTCCCTTCAGTAGGAAAACTGTGAAAGCATGTTCAAAATTCTGCCCTGTGCCAAAATTTTAAGATAATTTCTGAGATTACCTTGCCTCTCTGGGGATATATAACCTTTTCCACTTAATTTTTCTCTTGGGTATATACCCAATGTGGAATAAGTCCTTGCTTCTTAGCTTCTTGTGCAAGTTCCTTGTCAATAAGATGGGGCTGTTGGCAGTATCTAATTCATAATGTTACATGAGATAATTAATGTCCACTAAATATTTTAACAGGCACAGGGTTTACTGACTATACTGATACATTTTCCAACCCTCCCGGCTTCATTGGAGGGGTTACATGGGATACATTTTCTGTGTATCCCTCCTCCTTTACCATGGGCAAATGGTGAGTTAGCTAAAATTTTCCCATGTGGTGGTGAGAAGTGCTGGCTAGAATTAGTCATTTGTCATCATCACACTGTGTCAGGCACAGTGAGTCTTTTTGTACATTTCTCCATTAGCTCAATAGACAGTTATGTGTTACTCTGCTAGATGTTGAGGCCACCAAGATGAGTAGACACAGAGATACTCGCTCATGGATTTACAGTCTGGTGAGGCGGACAGTAATGCTAGAATAACTTGAGTGTATATAATGGCTTGTGGGGGAGTGTTTATCAAGGAGGACAGGAAGGCACCTCCAGGAGGTGATGACTGTTCAGAGCAATGCAAGGAATGAAGGGACCTTAGCTAGGTGAAGGAGGGCGGTAAGGAGCCTACCAGCCACAGGGAACGACTTGTGCAGTGGTCCTGAGGTGGAAGGGGGTAGGAGGAGCTCAGGGTTCCCCATGAGGGACGAGTATGGCTAGAGAGGAAAATTAGAAGCTAACTGTGCAGAGCCTAGTAAGCCGTAAGAAGGCATTTTCAGGACTTAGCTCAGGCGGAAGCACTGAATGGTTTTGATCGGAAGGAGGTGGCCTGATCAGATTTGGCTTTTGAAAGGTCGCTGCAGCTGCAACAGGAGAATCAGCAGGAGGGTGAAGGGGCAGGCGAAGACTGTTGGAGTAGCCCGAGTGAGAGGTGGTAATAGCATGGACCCAAGGCAGTGTGAGGCAGATGGAGAAGAGTGGATGTGTTTGGGAGCTCTTTGATAGGACTTGATGATGAATTGGGTGTTGGGGGGTGGGGGGCAGGGGGCCGTGCAAAGCTGATTTCTGGCGCCTGGCTTGCATAACTGCATGGATGGTAGTGCCATTCACTGAGATAAGGAACCTGGAAAAGGACCAAGTGTGAGAGGGAGGGTTGAGAGTTTGGTTTGTACCTGCTGACAAATTTGTGACTATAATCAATGGAAGGAGTTCTTTTTTCATTATTATAACTACTATCTCCTAAAATATATGTAAATATCAGTATTTTCCTTAAACCACAGTATTTTTTAAATCCACTTGAACTAAAAGTAATCCAGCAGCTTCTTAGGTTTCCTCTGAGTGTGTATGTACACTACATACACATAAAATTCAAAGTTAGGATTAATTTAGTGCTGTGTTCTCAAACAGTGGCATATGTAATTATCTGGAGACCTAAAGATCCCTGGGTCCTTCATAGTACTACTAAATCCCCATCTCCAGGGCCAAGTATACTGGGCCCCTGTACTTTCAGTAAGCTCCCCAGATGGTACTGATGTACCCCCAGACTTTGGGAACTTCTGATTTCATAAGAAAGGAGCAGTTTATGTACTTTTCCTCAGAACCCCAACAGTACAGTGAGACCCTCCTAATGGGGTTGATACTGGTTGTGTGTGAGCAGAGGCCAGAGCCCATGGTGTGTTTAGGGGGTAGCAAACCCCAGTGTGATTCCAGAGCATCCATTCAGGCCAATGTTCTTGCAGGCTTGGGAGGGGATATACAGCCACCTTCTTAAAGTTCCAGCTTCAGTGCCGTGGGTGCTGGTGCCGTCATTGGTATTTGGAATGTGGCTGGGGTGGAGATAAAGAAGATAGCTGAATGGATATCAAATTCCAGAAAGACCAGGAGCTAAGAAATCTAATTGAATCTCTCTGATTGAGTTCCTCTCTGCAGGAGGCCAGTTGCAGAGCTTAATTTGGCAGTGATCAGGGGGCTTTCAAATTTTGGCTGTCTTTGTTTTTAAAGGGGAAAAAGAGGCAGCCATTTTCCATAAAATAGCAGGGAAGAGAGAGGTCCCATTCCTCATTCCTCTCTTCCTCTCCTGGCCTTCCTCACTGGCCTCTCTTGGTAGT